ATCGCGAGTGTTCCAGGGTAGCCTTTGAATTACGAGCAACTAAAATAAATTGTTTTCATATTATACACTACAACTACTTTGCGTACAGCCAGGAGTAAACACATAAAAATTTTCATAGTGGTGGATCAAACAAAAAAGTGTCACTCAAGCATCATTTCTAGATATAAAGTTCACTTTCTGGTATCACCTCAATAGCAAAAGGAAAAGGCCATTTCCACATAAAAGGGTTGTAGACTACAGCTATACAACTTCTTTTAACATACAAGAAAGTTGGTTTTCAGGAATATACCGGCTCTATCTGCAGATGAAAGACACATGATCAGCATATTAAATCTTGGGACTTCTGTTAAATTCTCTATATATCTGATAGCTAAGTCCATTTCTTCTCTGTGGAAAGAAACGAACAAAAAAGGCAGTCATACATCCATTTGAACTCAAGCTCAGAACAAACAAGGAAATAAAACATCTATTTACCTGAAAAAGGTAGAGATACATTTGATGATATCTACAAGCATAGAAGCAGTCAATGCATTTTTAAATATCTTCGGTAATGCGGTTGGAGATGTAACCTAACAATTCCAGTAAATGTAAAATTAATAACATGATAAAACAATCAGTTAATCTTTAACTTAGTCATCAATGTAATGCAGATAAGGATCCAAAAACAAGACCATGGTTGAAATTGAGGCTCATTTAACATTTATGCTTGACAGGCACAATTGTAAAGATAACCAAAACATAAGAACCAGCTTACAGGTGCACCATCAACCTGTGGTTAGAACACACTGGTAGTGTCATCCATGCTTGAATATAACTTACAAAACATCAATTTTCAGTTTGATCGAGGACCAACCTTCAATAACTGAGCCTGTAATGCACGATCACCAGAAAAACCTCTCCAAGAGTTCTCAAACTGATAAGCCGTATTTGGTGGTGTGATGTTTCTTGCAGCTTCAGCCTTTGCTCGGGAAGCTGCTCGGGAAGCAAGCTCTTGAACTGATGCATTCAACCGCTGCTTTCTCATATTATGATCTTGCTGTGGTACATAAAAAAGTCATCAAGTATTAAAATATAGCAAGAAGCACAAAGGCCATTGATAAAATGTACAGAGCTAAACAAAGAGCAACATGAAATAGGCCAAGATGTCAATGTAAAAACTAATCTAATGTAGCTATTTGCCAATAGTGATTAAGATCACCGCCAATAAATACGAACTACTACTTCTAGACAGAAACAGTATCCAGCACCAAATAAATTATCAATATTATAGTATGAAATTCTTTTTCGAGTAAAAGAGACCTAAACAAAGTGAATCTTAGTATATACTGTAAATTCTAATCTACATCAAAGAAATCTTCTTTGACATAAATTGCTATAATGCAAAATGAATGATTTTATAGGGCACGAAAGAATTGATGAACTTTATAATAGTTAAATAAAATATGTCCCTGCATACCTAATTCAGCCCTCTAGTCATTTGCTTTTTCTAGTCAAGAAAACTATATCCTCATTGGACAAGTAATTATTGACTTAAAAACGATAGAACTCAGATAGCATGAACTTACAGGCAAGGAAGTTCAAGTGAATGAATACTACAAAAACACTTGCCTCCAGGCATCCAAAAATTATGAAAGGGGAAGAACAATGCTGACTAATCCATACCACAGAAAATAGTTTTACTTGGTTAATCAAAACAATTGCAGCCATCAAGGCAAAAGAAGGAGCAATTGCGAAAGTCGGAGTAATAGGTAGAATAAGTCAAACCTTAGCATCCATTGGACTAGAACTCTGAGTGGCACCTGCAGGAAGGCCTTCGCTTCTACTGCCCCTCCTGATATTTTTATTCTCTACTTCCTCTATATGTAAGGATGCCTTTCCAGAGGCTTGACCCTCATTCTCCTGATAATAATGTTTAAGAACTTAAAATAAAGAAATCATCTCACAAATTGAAATAAACCAATCAATTTCTTCACCACCTACAAAAGAGGAAAGCATCTTCGAATTTATTCGTCAATTGTTTGTGATACTTGAAATGTATATTCGGCACATTACATTCTGGAAGAAAGCAATAAATATTCTTTGCAACTAAGGACACAGGCAAATTCTTGCCTTGGGTGCTTAGGGGAAATGAATTTTAGGGAAATATCCTAGCTACTGATACCTTAGGGTGAACCGCTTTAACTGCAGCTCTCTCATCTTTTGAGATGGAATGAGCCCCATTTTGACTGACTGTTGCCTCTGGGATCCTGGTCTTTTGTGCTCCCTGTGCAGGGCTTCTCATGGCTCCAGATGCCTTCTTAAGAATGTCCTGGGAATAAAAATACTAGCATTGAAGTTGACATAACAACTTGTAATTAAATTGAATATATAAATTAGAACATAGATTCAATGTAACAATATAATTGGAACATATATTCAATGTAATTAAGTTGAATATATAAATAAGAACATATATTCAATATAAGAATCTCTCGGTAATCAAGATCATATACATTCTCTATAGCTATCTAACTATGACGGAAACAGTTCAAAAGAAAATAAACATTCCTAACATAAAAGTAGGTTGTAAGCCAGAAAGTAGAGAAGTAACAATCAATGCTTACTTTCTCATACAAAGATTTAACATCAGCATGCTGCTTCTTGAGCTCTTGATTATTAGGCTCCAACCGCATCGCAAATTCAGAATCTGCAGTATATTATTATATTTATCCCTAGCTAAATCAATAATAATCAACTTGGATTCAATAAAACATAATTCATTTACATCTTAAGATGGATTAACAAAGGCACGGTTCAGAGTTTACATACCCTCCATGGATGCTTTAAGCTTTCCAAGTTCTTTCCTAGCCACTGCTCGGCGTGAATATGCTTTTACATAGCGGTCATCAAGATTTAAGGCCTCTGTACAGTCATCCTCAGCCTCTTCAAATCTAAATTGAAACAAAATGAAAATGAGAAGTGAAGTTGTTAGAGGAAGCCAACTCCACTTTTCAAATAGCCGTTATCTCACATTTTGCAAAAGCAGTAATATGGAATTCTGTTCCTTCATAAATATACTTTCTGGGCATTACAGCAAAAATCATGTAAAAGAATAATATACTTGCCTTCTGATTTTAAGATAGGCCATTGCTCTATTTGCATAAGCTACAGCTGTTGGTGACAGTGCAATGCTTCTTGAATAGCAGTCAATAGCTTCATTAAATTTCTTCTGTTTAAAATACTCGTTACCCTGTATGAAGAAATATACTGCACTGTTCAGCAAACCAACCTAGTTCACCAGACCTACATATTGATTAAAAATTAGGCTTACTAGTTCTTTCTCTGAAGTAGCATCTGGAAGAGACTCTTCGGATCCACAACTTGATATACGACTAAGTGCATCATTATATCTCAAATAATCATACTGTCCTGAATTACTTCTTGAAGACTCAGCTACTGTAGCTTTTCCAATAGATTTGTGTTTCTCAGCAGGCTTTCGAGGAGATGATACATCAAGAAATTACATTAAGTACTTGCTAACACCAACACATGCATGAAAAACAAGATGATAATACCATACAATTATAAGAATGAAATAAACCAAGTTATGCTCTTTCCCGAGCTTTTTAGACTGAAGCTAACAATAGAACAAAAGTAATACCACGAACACACAAATAAAGAGAACAGCACGCAATAAGGACAAGTGCACTGAAATTTAGAGGAGCTACACACTAAAAAACAAATACCAACTTATCCTTATCAGGAGCATGCCGTTTCAAATTTTTGTCTTTGCCCTTAAGCGAAAGTTCCCAATCCTGCAAATCATTCAAAAATCCCTGGAACTCCTGGAAAAAGGTAGGACCAAGAAAAAAATACTAACAATAAATAAACATATTACAATAAGTCGCAGACACGAACCAAAACGATTCATAACTTAAATCACATTATTAGCCCTCAAACATTTCATAAAAAGAAGAACGCTCAAACATGCATCTTTTTATCTAAGAAATCTCTCTCTCTTTTAATTTTAGCAGAAGAGATACCAGTAAGCATAACCACCAAACGAAGAAAAAACAATTATATATTTAGCGGAAAGAAAGTCCCGGGGTTAAACAGTAAGAGAATGGCAATTAGAACTCAGAAGAAATATAAAATAGAACGATAAGCGCCTCGATGTTTCAGTTCCTCAGTATCGAACAGAGTAAATTGAATTCTAAATGCTGTTTAGAAATTTAAGGGACACGTACCAGAGCTTGGTCCCGGCCGTGTTTGCTTGGAACCCTAGCCATAGCACAGTTCACAGAGAGCGAGGCAGCGAGGAGCAGCAGCGATGAATCTGGAAGAGAGGAGCGAAGAGGGGAATTTTTATTTTCGAGTTTTATATATAGCTTTTGATGCTAATCAAAACGCACAGTTTTGAGCCATTTGTTGGGCCTGGGCTGATTTGACTTCTAATCAGGGTCTCGACCCGATGGAGATTTTGCTTGCGCAAAGGGAAAGCTGAAATTGAAATATAGCAGATCGCAAAATCAGTCTCTTCGCTACTTTGCTTTCTTCTTCTCTACCAGAACAACGAATCCATAACCCAAATCGAAATGAATGTAAGTTTCTCTCTTTCAGTCTGGCTTTCTTGCTTATAATATGCTCATGTTATTATCCTCTGTTCTTCATTTTTAATCAATATTGTGATTTTCCTGTTATTTTCAAGCAGTTCACCGCTTCGAAGGGGAACGATCATGGGCTGCTGGGCGCTGAATCTGACTCTCAAAGAACTCAGTATGCTCTTTCTCTTGCAGATAAATGTGTATATACGGTTGTTTAAATACACAAACACCACGCCTGTTGCGTATATCTATGTGCATAGGAGTAAGGTTTTTGTTCCCGGGTATTGGGGATTTTTTTTAATCAAGGTTTTTCTTTTTTGTTTATTCGAAATTTGGGTAGGTATCCTTTCGTTACTGGGACATCAGTGATAGCAATCAAGTATAAAGATGGGATTTTGATGGTTGCTGATATGGGAGGTATGGCCCATGATTTCGCATATTTACGTCATTCATCTTGCTATTTCGATTTGGCTTTGTACTTGTCAATTGTCAGGTTTAATTTAACCGTATACGTTTACAAATTTGTTTTATTCTCTAAGGCTAGTAATGGCTATCTTCTTGTTTGTAATCGAACCTAATGCGCCTAATTCTGCTTCCTCCGGTTACAAACATAAACACGTAGATGTATATTTGTGGGTGCTACAATCTGTAAATAGCTAAACTCATCTTAATTTCGTGACAGAATAGCGTAAAATTGAAGTTCGGGTTTTGCTGTTGATACTACTGGTTTATCAAGAGATGAAAAACTTGTGCATGTCTATTTCTGCATCTGCATCTATACTATCAAGTAGCATATTTGTGATAAAATCGTGTTATCTTTTGGTTGTTGAGGGACTTCGACTAATTAGAAATTTTTTGAATTTGTTGAAGAATGTAAACTCTATCCTTTTACAATTTCCTTCTCTTATTTTGTTATTAATCTATGCCTTTGAACTGCATTTTGAGCAATTACCAAATATGACTAGAGGTAGGTATCTCTGGCTTT